ATCTATAGTCTTTCATTCATCAGAGTGGTTCTTCATTAGTTGCTTTATATAGATCCACTCGATTCCTTCCCCGTTACCTTTGTGTAGAAGTCGATCAGTCACCCATTTTTCATCAACCCCTGCAATCTTAGCTAGTCCGTTCTTAAAAGGCTGACTCTTGATGTGTTTGATATATGCCCTCTTTAGTCTGATGTTTTCGCAGTGCAGTAAGGTAGTATACTCTTCAATTGTGGGCACCATGTCCTCCCGGTTAAAGGTGAAACAACTGTATCTCGGGTTCCAGAATTGAACCAAGGCTCTGATTAAGGGCTCACCGGTCTTAACATAAAGCAAAAGTGCAATGTCACCATACCGCTGACTGAACTTCTATTTTCGATCATTCTTCCAACTGTCCCAGATGTCTCGAAGTTCTTGAACATTGTTAAGTTTTAGGCTGATAGAGGCATAGCTAACAAGCTCTGACACATAACTTCCTTGAAGATTGTCTCCTTTTTCTTTCTGAGTCTTCTCGGACCATAGTCGTACCTCGGGGTTTTTAATCTCCTGTATTACAACACCTTTGTCCATTAATGCAGATTATTTATGGTTAACGAACACGTTTTTTTGGTGGATCAACACCTCTTTTGAATGATGCAGATGATGAAAATAAAATAAAAGAGAGGAAAAAAATGAAAAAAGTTAGTAAGGTAAAGATAATAATCAAAGCAATCATGAAAATAAAAGTCCTACCCCACATGATATATACCCCACATACTTATTATTCCTACCCGGACATGATCTCTATCCCGCAAGTTGATTTTGAACAAGTCCTAACCGCATAAATTTCTAGTTCACATGTTTTGAACAGAAAGTAAAGCAGAAAATAATTTTGGCAACCTAGGGTTTAAAACGAGGTTTTGGGGTGGGCCCTAACTCCTTGTAGTCTCCGGGTTTAGGTTCTAAAAAAAGGTACTCGAGTTCTCCTTACCGGTGCCCCCTTGGGCTTACCAGACCCTTAGTCCTAAACCCATCACAGGCTTCTGTGGACTAAGTGAAACTCGAGAGGAAACATTCCCTTATGCCCATACGGAGAATAAATTCACACGAAGGCATAAGGTATATGAATCCTGAAGGTTACTTGCTAGGCCCATACGATGAATAAATTCACACGAAGGCGTCGCTTTCACCCCCACTTAAAACGGGTTCAGAGCTCGGGTATAGAGCCTTTGGATGAAAAATCTTTAAGGGCTGAAATCATTAAAAAACGGTCAGTACAACTATTTACTCGAAAATATAATCAAAAGTAAGTAATAAGGATCGAAATGTTACCTTAAAATTTAAACTTACCCTTTTCATTAAAAAGATAACTGGAAATTATCTTAGCCTGACTCACTTACCTATGTCCCCAGCGGAGTCGTCAAGCTGTCGTAACCGTCTTTCGGTTGTGCTCCGGAATTAGGCTTCGACGTGAAAAATGGATTGGGAGTCGCCACCGATCATTTACTTTACGAAAAGTGGGTTGATCGGATACCTTATTTCTTACTTGATCTGCGTCTTACCAGTGATATGTCGGATCCGAGAGTCGGTTACGGTCAAGGAAGGATTAGCACCCTTGAACCGCCCTTTCGGTACTATGTAATTTCCAGTTGTCTTTAATTAAGAAAGTTGAAAGTTTAAATTGAAAGGTAAAATAACGATCCAAAACTTACATTTGATTGATTGAAAATGTACCCTTAAGAAAGTAAAAAAGCCATGTTAGATAAAATGGTAAGAAATTAATTAATTAAATTAAAATGAAAAGAAAACAAATTAAGTAAAATGATAAAATGAAGAAAGCAAAGATAAAATAATAAGTAAAAAAAATAAATAATAAAATATATATATAAAAGAAAATAAAAGAAAATAAATAAAACAAAATAATAATAACAAAGTACGAATAATATATATATATATAATAAATAAAAAAAAATATATAAATTAATAAATTAAATGACGAAAAGAACATATACACATATAATGGTAAAAAAACAAATAAAGATAATTACAATATATATATATAGTAACAATACTAATAATGATAATAAGTAGTTAAAAAAACAATCACATCGAAAAGGAAAGAAAAGAAAGTAAAGTTTGGTAAAGTATAATTGACAGGAAGAAAAAATGATGAGGGGTGGGGACAAAGTAAGTAGATATAATTAACTTGTGTAGAATATATATATATATATATATATATATATATATATATATATATAGTAAAATGTATATATAACAACAATAATATCAATAAAAAAGAAAATAAATATAATATAATGATAATAAAAAATATAGAAAATTAATAGAAAATATATGTATAATATTATAAAATATAGCACTTAAAATAAAAAAACCAAATATATTAATAATAGGTATAAAAACTAAAATATTTAAAAGAACATACGCATATATATATATATACAAAATAAATAATATAAAAATAATACAAGTAATAATACAAGAATAATAAAAAGAAAGAGAAAGTAAAAAAATATAATAATAATAAAATATAAAAATATACATATATAATATAAATAAGTAGAATAAAGGAAAATATAATAGTAAAAAAATAATAAATATAATAGTAATAATAAAAATGCAAAGAAAATAAATATATATATATGGGTAATAACGTATATAAATAGAGAAAAATTAAAAAAATGATAAATTAAAAATAAAATTAGCAAGTATGTATATATATAAAAAAAACTAATTAAGGGATTAAAATGAAAGGAATGTAAATTAAGTGGGTAAATGTCAAAGAACATTGAAGATTAAAGCCAGCAAAAATAAAAAAAGTTTTCATTTTTTGATAGATTTTCATACTCTCATTCCAAAAATGTAATTTGTTTTTGCGAAATAGCCTCTAGGGAGCGTAGATCTGAAATCAAAGTTTCGAAAAAACTCCCTCTGGGTCATCGGCTAAAACACTTGTCTTTGGGGTTCTCCAAAGAAAACACAATTAACAACGCATGCAAGTGAAGAGTAAAGAGAAACAAACGAATGATAAAAAAAGCTTTCACCTTTATTACTTCGAATCGTTTACAATAGCTTTGCCTTTGTATTTTTCGTGTTTTCCTCTGTATTTTGTCTGTAAATCGTGTGTTACAATAGTGAGTTACAATGGATATTTATAGTGCTTGTGGATCCTATCTTTAGGAGTTTAAATCATAGTAGAACTCTATCCTATTTTTAGGAGTTTGAATCCTAGCAAAATTCTATCCTATTTTTAGGAGTTTGAATCCTAGTAGGACGAAAAGGTGTGTTGACAAATCCGTTGAGTGCATGCTGCATTTCCTCTTGGATATTCTCCAAGGTTTCAAGCTTTTCGAGATCAAGGGACCCTATCTTTTCAAGATTGGTGGATTCTAATTGATCCAACACCTCCTTAGCCTCCCTCGCGGAGTCTTCGAGTTTAGCGGTCTTACCTAGGAGCAATGTGATGATGTCCTTCGAAGAATATCTCTTCTTTCTTGCATTACGGGTCTCGACTCCCTTGAACCCTATTTTTTTTGTTACGTTGCAGAGCCATCTCGTCCAGCGATGAACCTCACTCTGATGCCACTTGTCATTGGACTAAATTGTTGGCTAGTTGGTCCGTGCGACCCTTAGATGCCTTGCTCGGTCGCTCGACACTATGGCAGCCTAAACTCCTTAGTATGACGGTTTGTTATTGTTGTAGCGGTAGATACAATAAGAAAACATAGAAAATGGAAGTAAACACATGTGGGGAAATTTTTGGCACAAATTCCTGAGTTTATTCATACAAAACTCTCTTATGTTCAATGGAGGTGGGGAGACCTCTTTTTATAACGAAGTCTTCTTACATTCAATAACTACTCCTAGTCTAACTACAAGTATAACTCATGTTTTAGTTGAAACTCTCATGTTTGAGTCCTATTCAAACAAGGACTATGCTACTTGGCTTATTTTCTAAGTAATGGTTGACCTCGCTAGGTGGACAAGCCCTAAGTTAGCTGGCCTCGACCCTCAGTGCACCCCCGATGTGCGCTGGCCTCGACCCTTGGTGTGTCCTGTTGCGTGCTGGCTAGAGCCCTAGACAGACCCTGACGTACGACAGCCTTGGCCCTAGGTACCCCCTGGTATGCGACGATCTCGACCCTAGGCGACCCCTGGTGTGTGACTAGGCAGTTTTTGATGTGGTAGGTCACGCTTGTGGGTAATTCAGGGAGAGGGTATCTTGGCCTTGTGCGGCGTTGTGTGCGTCTTTATCTCAATATGGTCCTCGTGGGCTGCCTGAGGCGTGTCTGTTGTGCCCTTGTGTGCGCCCTGGTAGGTGTTAGTCTCGGCACCACGGTGAGGGCAGCCTGCCTTGTGCTAGTCACGACCCAATGGGCATCCTGGTATGGTCTAACCTCACCTACATGTTCGCGGCTCGTGACAATATACACTGTTTGATCGAAATATAAAGGTAAAGAATACTAGTCAATGAAAACATTCACTTACCATATAAAACCAAGGAACCGATCACTTAGGAGTATCTGCACTTTCTCGTAATGAGTTGGAAGATTACCATGGGGATTGTTGTTCTCTAAAATCCGAGCATGTGTTATGAGATCCTGTGATTAGTAACGTGTGAACTATAAGGCAATTAGCTTATAATATTATATTAGTGATGCATAAACTACAACATTGAAATATTCCACTAATATATAACATGTGTTGGGAACTGATACAAATATTTTTAAAATTTATGGATTACTTTTAAATAAAGGTCATAGTTTAGAGACATCATGTCCAATTATCTCAAAAAAAATATTTAAAAACTACTTACGTGTAAAACACGCGCTCATCTTTGTTCCCAAAAAAACGCGAGTAAGCGCCAGACTCCTAAGTGCAGAGTTGAGTTATAAAGTTTCCAAAATTTACAACCAATAAATAAAAATCTGCCGTTTAACGGTCATTTCTCAAAAAACGAATTTTCAGAAAACCAAAAATAAATATCAGAAACGAACTCTCCGCCTTCTTCTGCCGCTTTCATTTCCGTCTTCGTTAAGATTCATATAAAAGAGAAAACAAGGAAAAATAAAATCCTAAGGGGTGAAATTGTAGAGTTTGGATTTGCATATGGAAATCTATAAGGAGAATCCTGTCAGTAATCATAGCTATAACATGCGGGTTTTGAATGTGCTGGAGAGGGGGCGTTTAGGTTCGCTGAAATTTAGCAGAATCAGAAGCGGTGGCGGCAATGGCGGCTACGATGACGATGCTCTCGTTGAACGGCAATTGTTGTATCGGAAGCTTCCTGATCAGAATCTTCGCAATCTCTCCATTCTGAAGCTCGACGGTTCCCTTTTTGGTAAAACTCCGTCGATTCTCATTTCTCATTCAACCTTTCTTTTTCTTCTAATTTATTTGTTTCTGTTAAGTCACGCTTAGTTCTTATTAGTACTTGTTACCATTTAAAAATAAATAAAGAAACAAAGGAGAAAATAAAAGTTAAAGTGGAGATGAAAGGATAACATGAATCACTTTTGTTGATGAATAGTGCTTTGTATTTATTTCATTTTTTCTGTCTTTTTTTATTTGCATCTAAAATGTTAAATAAAACAAAAAGAGAGGAAATATAACTTTTTCTATCTTTTTAAAGTAAAAGGAGTAATGAATCATCGGATAATCTTGTAGTAAAACAATATAAAAAATTAGAAAAGTGCTTTAAACTTTTAACAAACCAAAAGTTACTAAATCTGACTTAGTTTATGAAATAAAAATTGAATTACCACATTATAGTTCTCTTGTTTATTATTCTTGAATGAGGCTTTTGGGATTATGCAGATGTAAATGTAGGAAGGAGTGCTACAGTTGCAGAGCTTAAGGTAGCAATAGAGGAACTTTTTGCAGAATCGCCAGGGGAAACTCAATGCTGTATTTCATGGTATTAACTCATTAGAACTAATTCATGGACTTTTACATTGACTTACGAGTGATTGCTATTCTTTTGACTGATTAAACGTAATCTTGTTATGTTGGTTTTGATTGTTTTGAGTTTGGATATTGAAATTTGATTTATAAATTTTATGATATAGATGAAGTTGATTGTTGTTTGTCAGGTCACATGTTTGGGGGCACTTTTGCTTGGTTTATGAAGGTCAGAAGCTGGTTAACAATAAGGCTTGCATTAGAAATTATGGGATCAAAGATGGTGATCAGGTTTTGTTTTTCATACTTGATTGTGCCAGTAGTATTTACAATTTGGTAATCTTGATCAAAGGATTGAAATAGCTGCTTTTTATCCTCTCTCTTTTTGGTTCCTTTTTAAAGTGCTAGCTGCAATTATCTGATGTTTGTTTCTGGTGCAAACAGCTTGAATTTGTCAAACACATGTCTGTCAACCAATCACCTATTAAAAGACGTATAAAACAGCACAGCGTTCACTGCAAATGGTACTCAAATCCGATAAAACCCTTGTTTATTCTGTAATCTTCAGTGGTATTAGATGTTGATGATGTTGAGGCATGCATGTTTTATCTTCTTTTTCAATTAATCAATGTTTCATGGTGCTCTGCGCATAGCTTGTCACAAAGATCTAGTTATGATGAAGAGAGACAACAGAACCTTGTGAATAATCATAACTACGACAAGGATGAACATCGAGATTATTACGAAGTTGAAGAGGAGGCAACATCTCTGCCAGAGTTCAAGTTTGCTCACTTCTTGAGACGATGGCTCTCCCACACAACCTTGTGGGGTTCTTCACGGATGAGGTTGAATGATCGGAGCCATCCACCACCGAGATTCAATATGTACCGTTGAGGACCAAAAAGAATCGATGGCTTTCGCACTGCATTGTGCCGTTGGTCTGGTATTTTGTTTGTTGGATGGTCGGAGTCAGTTGCTTGCTTACCAGGACTAGTTTAATGTAATCGTTTACTTACCAGGATATATATGGAACCTTTTTTCCAAAGCTAACATGATGGGCAGCCCGCAGCCTGTTTCTGTTATTTATTTATTTGTCGTTGCTGGGCTAATATTTCTGTTACAGTTGAACTTGTTATTCAATATCTCTAACATGGACCGATGTTTAAGAACTCATTGATGTGGACTAATGCAATTAAAAAAAAGAAAATAACTTCAGTGACAAAAAATATCTTATACTATACGAATTTAATCAATTTTTTTGGATTTGCCAAAATGACCAACAAATTCGCAACGCGAATTCCAATTTCGTAACCCAGTTTCCAATTTCGCAAAGCGAATATGTAAATCGCATTGCGATTTTCCAAATTCGCAACGCGATAGTCAAATTCTCAACGCGAAAGTCAAATTCGCAACTGAATTTCAAATTCGCAACTGAATTTCAAATTCGCGACAGGTTTAGTTTCGCAACACAAATGTGACAACCCCATCAACTCACAACTCAGCTTTGAACTCAATCAATATTGTCTTTTAGCTTGATGGTTCATAAAGCATGTTACTTGAACAGTATGAATCAATTATGCAATTTTCATGTTCAATTTAACACTGCATTTCAAATTCATTTCATATGTAATTGAAGTTCGAATTTCAATATAAATTTCGGCTCTACTATAAATATTAGCCCAAGTCAATATGCATGTTATCATTGATTATTCTTAATTTCCATTGTTTTTTTTTCAACTTTAAGGTTTGTTTGTTTGGCTGTAATTGATTTTCCGGAAAATGAATTACTAGAATTTGAATTACTGAAATTTGAATTACTGGAAAATGAATTACATTTCTGGAAAATGAATTACATTTCTGGAAAACATCTGGAAAACGTTTTATGATGTTTGGAAGATGTTATTTAAACCATTTTTACACTAGTTGAAGAGTTTTTTAAAAATTATTTATTACAAATATTAAATATAATAAATAATATTATTTCTCATAAAACTTAATATTATTATTTTAAAATATTAAAATAATTTATTTATTATTAAATATTATTTTTATAATTTTATTAATAAAAATATTAATATTGGTATATTTTAGTGAAATAAAATATTATAAATTATATTAATTATTTATTAAAGTAATAGTGTTATATTATATTTTAAAAATATTAATTAGTATATTTTAAATATCTTTACTAAAATATTATTTAAATATATAAATAATATTATTCATTATTAAATATATAAAAAATTATTATATATTATTAAAATAAAAAATATAATATCTTATATTATTATAATATAATTGATTATATTATTAAACTAAAAATATAATGTTATATTATTATAAATATTAATAAATATATTTTAAATATTTTAATAATTAATATTTTGATGAAAATGATATTAAAATATTATATTAATATTAAATTCATAAAATAAAATTATTTTTGAGTATTTTTGCTTTGAAGTGAAAAGTTCAGAAAATGAATCCGTAAAGTCATTTTACAGAAAACACAAAGGAAATTCTGTTACTAGGAAAATGAATTACGTTCCAGAAAACGAATTACGTGAAACAAACACGGGAAAACATTTTACGGAAAACGAATTACATGAAACAAACACGGGATTTCAGGGAAAACCAATTCCGTAATTGGTTTTACGGCAAACAAACTTAAACGCGATGGAAATCCCGACCATCGTATTTTTTGGTCAACTTTAAAGCGTCAGAAACGTTTCGGGCGTATGATATGGGTGGTATACGAGAAATGCAACAAATGGCAACTAAAAATCCCGATAATTGAGGGCTACAACTTGTAATAATAACAAAAATAATAAGTCCGAAATGCTTCTTAGTACCACCCAAATCATAAGTTCGAAATGCTTCCGATGCTCATCAAAATCCAAAGCTCATATGGTGCCAAGCAAAAGGAAATCAAAATCCAAATATCATATGGTTCCAAGCAAAAGAAAATCAAAATCTACAACTTGAGTTTGAACATTGATATGATCTGTTCAGTTGTCATCATGTTGGGATTTTATCTTGTTTGATTTTTTGGATAATTGTTCTCTTGCTTCTTCAAGTGTCCTTAACTTGTATTTATAGCTTGAAATGTGTTTGATGTTGTATATACCTTGATGTTGTATATTGCGATCAACGTGAATGTCAAATTCACAAACCGAAAAGCTCATTGCAAATTTGACTTTCGCGTTGCGAATTTGTACCTTCAACATGTCTTTTTTGCCTTCAAACATAATGCAGATTGAATTTTTTAAAAACAACAAATCAACTTTTACAAATCAATTAAACAAGCAAAAAAATAATTCTTATTTACAAATCAAATTAAACAAATCAACTTTTACAAATCAATTAATCAAAAAATAAATCTTATTTCCTCATCAATTGTAACAAATCAACTTTCAATGTAAAATTCAATTGTTTACAAAGAAAAAAATGTACCCCAGACTGTTGTTTATGCACAAATACATTTCACGCAGCTCACTTCAGGATTAACCTGCATAAACCAAATATTTGCTCAAATAACACTTTCTACACATCTAAAACCAACAAACAGCAAATTACTGAATTCTAGGTACTTAATCAAATATTTTCAAACCAATTAAAGAGTACTGAATTCAAACTTACCAATTGTTTATGTACAACTTTCAGCACGCGGATGCAGGTAGGCAGCGTCTCGTATATATCGATCTGGCCATATAATGCCGAAACCACAAGCCTACTGCAGCTCTATCTCTATTTTTGGGAGGTAGATATTGTATACTTCCTGTCGTCAAACGTTCCAAGCACAAGCATACGAGAGGACCACAATACCCTCTGGCTCCCTGCGTTTGTTGTGGCGCAGTCTCGTCTTTGATCATTGTAATTTTGAACTTCTTTGGCTTCTTGTTTCCAGATTTTATCCAATAATCAATCGCATTCAAGTATTTAGCCAAATGATCACTCCATCTCTTTGTAATAATATCTCTCAAATCAGACAATGGTGTGTAATTCAACATGCTGTCATATACCATTGTCTTCAGGGATGGGAGCTGAAGCTCGACGAGAAGCCAATGACGATGTTCCAAAACAGGGATAAACATATGCAATCATAAATAATTGCACACATCAAATAAAATTTATGAAAACCTTTAAAATATTCAAAAAAATAAATGCTAACCTTATCGACCTCCCACCACGCAGGATAAAGTTTAGCTTTTCCATTAACCAACTTATATGAAGTATCTCTCTGATCCTTCAAGTGAGCTGCATGAAAAGACGTCGGCATAATAGTTCATCGAATACCTCTTTTCTTCAATTTCCTTATTATTAGAAGATGTGACACCCATGCATCAATATGTTGTTTTATAAAAAAATAAATATATTAGTGAATTTATTAATAATTTAAAAAAAATTAATCAAAATGCAATATAAGAAGAATATAATACTTACCCCCCCTCGAGGTAGCCATTATCTTCAACCCCTAATAAAATACCCCACCAAGACCGATCAAGAAACAAATGAATAGCATCGTTGATTTGGCATAGGTCAGAATAGCACCCCTTGCTCCGCTCATGTAGATAAAAATCAACTGCGGTCTTAGCCCAAAGGGTATTATCCATAATTGTGTCTGGTAGTGTTTCCATCTCCTGCTGAGGAATGGTACTGGCCGGTAACTCATACGAAAGCCAACACGCATCCATCATATCGGGCACGGGAGGTGGTTTATTAATATGTCAACATATGACGCCAAATGAATCGGGCTCTTGAACGGCGGGCGGGACCACTTGAACGATGACAGGGGCCTCTTGAACGGTGGGAGGGGCTTCTTCGATGATGATAGGGGCCTCTTGAATGATATGAGGGGCCTCTTGAATGATGATAGGTGCATCGGGCTTATTCTTACGGAGTCTTGGACTAGTGGGTGAACGAAGATGTAATGGCACGTGCACAACGTCTGATGCGTGAACCCCGTCGTGCAAGAAAAACCCGACATAAAGCATCTACCTTAACGGGCCGCTGAAAATAAATTCATATATAAATCAGTAAATAAATAAATAATGCCGAAAAAAATTTATTTGCATTTTTAGTATAGTATTAAACAAATTTACCTTATTGCGTAAAGTATTAACCTTATTCTACAACAATGAAACAATCTCGCGTAGAGCGGCAACCTCATCACGTAAGGTAGATACCTCACTGCATAGTGCACCATTGTCATCGCGTAAAAAATCCACCTCACCACGTAAAGATCGAACCTCATCACGCCATGCACCATTATCTTCACGTAAAGTACCGACCTCATGATGTAAAGTACCGACCTCATCACGTAATTCCCCTAACTCATCACGTGGAGGTGGAGAACAGGGAGATGGAGATAGACGGAGCCTCTTTGCCAGTCGCCTATCATGAGGTGATGGTGGAGAAGAGGCTCGATGATGTGATGGAATATGTGATGGAATAGGTGATGGTGGAGGTAGAGAAGATGCTCGACCAGGTGATGGCTCCGGGTGTCGAGCTATAGAATCGGCCCGATGGGGTGATGGCTCTCGAAGTGGGGGGTGCTCATCATCCGTCCCATCAAAAAACCGCTTACTAGCTTGCCACCAATCAGTGGCAAGCTCAGCATCTGAGGGTGTCAGCTCTGTAATGGGTAGTTGGCCTCCTAACAATATAAAAGCTCAAACAAAGTTAAATGTGTACTAGTAATAACTTGTTTATATATGGTAGTATTTGTGTGTTAACTTACATCATTAATCGTCGTATATGGGAGTAAGTCTTCCCAATCCAACATGCGGATCCTCTTCCAGGTAATAGCCTTAGGAATATCATTTGATCTTTTTATCGCATATGTCTGCATATTGGGGAAAGCCTCAAATATCCAAATCTACAAACAATATAATACACAAACATTAGTA